CCCATTTTTCGACTTCTAGGCACTTTTTGGGCCACCTTCCAAAGCCCTTCGAATTTTGGGGCCAAAATTAAATAATGATTTTTTTTGACTTTAAAACCCTTTTAAAAAGACTATTTCTTTTCCCGCGACTTTTTGAGGGACATTCGCAGACTTACACAAAAATTTTTGATCCCAAGGGCTGATAGAAAAATTTTAGATTTCCCTTGGGGACCTTTAAAAAGTACATTTTTGGTCTGGGGACCTGTTTTCTTGTACATCCAGACTTTAAAGGAATGCTTGGTAAAAAAGGGAAAAATAATCAAAATTTTTTGACTTTTGGGGGCCCCTTTTTAAAAAAGTAAAATTTCTTTGGGTCTGCGGCGTTTTGGGTTTGACACCACAAAATTTTCAGAAAAAAGGTTCCAAAAGAGATTTTTGGAAATTTTTTTATTTTCAAGGGAAAAAGCCAGATTTCCATTTTTCTGGTTTGCGACTTTTTTCCAAAGGGTCACTCGCAGTTTTCGGGGGATTTTTGGGGGCCCAAGGGGAGAAAATTTGACTTTTTTGATTTTCTGAAACCCCACCAGAGTTTTTTTTCGGGGTCTCCCGCCCTGTTTTTTGGCCCACTTTGAATTTTTAAGGAAAATTTTTGATGGAAAAGGAAAAAAATTTTCTTTTTGGGGGAAACCCCGCTAGGGGTACTTTTCTTTGGTCTGCGACTGTTTCTTTGAGATTTCGAAAGATTTTAAAGGATGTTTTGGTGCCTTTGCAGATCTTTATTTTTTTTAATTTTTTAAGGACCCCCTTAGTCAGAAGCAAGCTTTTTACTTTTTTAAATGCCCACTGAAAGAAACAAACAATTCCAAAATTTTTAGAGTGCCAATAATTCAGTCGCAGACCAACGAAATAGACTCTGGATAGTTAAAAGATGTCAAAAATGTTTTTATCTCTATTGGCACAAAAAAAACCCCTGTAAGTCTGCTACTGTCCAAGAATAAGTCGCATACCAATAAAATGGTCCCTGGATGGTCCCTAGAAGTAAAAATTATCATGATCTGCCTGGACATAAAACATTCATGAAAGTCTGTGAGCGCCTCAGAATCAGAAACAGACCAAAAATAAGTCAGAAATATCATTATCTGCGTTGACACCAAAATTCCCGAAAGTCTGCGAGTGACTCAGAATCAGTCGTAAACCAACAAAATAGACTCAGGAGGGTACTTTTGAAGTAAAAATGTCGTTAACTCCATTGGCACCGAAAAATTCTGAAAGTCTGCGAGTGTTCTAGAAACAGTCGCAGACCACTGAAATCGGCTCTGGATGGTCCTTAGAATTCACAAAGGTCATTATCTGCATTAACACCAAAAATTCCTGAAAGTCTGCGATTGTCCAAGAATCAGTCGCAGACCAGAGAAATAGACACTTGAGGGTCCCGTAGAAGTCAAAAATGTCGTTATCTGCATTGGCACTACTTATTTTAGAGAGATTTCGCAACAAAAATAAAATTTTCAGAGGCATAAGGATTACAAGTGGATGCATAAGGAGTAAAAGAGGAAACATATTTACTCTGTATTTAAGAATGCCCTGCTAGATTGCTCTGCCAGCCCGGCATTTCAGCAGAAAAAATAAACTTTATTTAAGAATGCCGTGCTAGTTTGCCTAGACAGCTCAACATTCCGGTAGAACAGTTTTACACTTATTTTCAGAATACTCTGCTGGATTGCTTAGCAAGCTGAGCATACCAGCAGATCATTTTACGCTATATTTTGGAACGCCCCGCTAGATTGCTTAGCCAGCTGACCTTAACAGCAGAGCATTTTTACACTATATTTAGGAATGCCCTGCTAGATTGCTTAGCCATCTGAGCATACAAGCAGAGCATTTCTACACTTTATTTTGGAATGCTCTGCTGGATTGCCTAGCCAGCTGAGCATTTTTGACACTATATTTAGGAATGCCCTTCTAGATTGCCTACCTAGCTGAGCAATTCAGCAGAGCATTTCTACACTATAATTTGGAATGTCCCGCTTTATTGCTTAGCCAGCTGAGCATAACAGCAGAGCGTTTTTACACTATATATAGGAGTGCCCTGCTAGATTGCCTAGCCAGCTGAGCATACCAGCAGATCATTTTTACACTTTATTTTGAAATGCCCCGCTTGATTGGTTAGCCAGCTGAGCATAACAGCAGAGCCTTTTTACGCTATATTTTGGAATGCCCTGCTAGATTGCTTAGCCAGCTGAGCATACACGCAAAGCATTTTTACACTATACTTTGGAATGCCCCGCTATATTGCTTAGCCAGCTGAGCTTACCAGCAGAGCATTTTTACACAATATTTCGGAATGATCTGCTAGATTGCTTAGCCAGCTGAGCATACACGCAAAGCATTTAAACACTATATTTAGGAATGCCATGCTAGATTGCTTAGCAAGCTGAGCAATTCAGCGGAGCATTTCTGCACTTTATTTTGGAATGCTCTGCTGGATTGCCTAGCCAGCTGAGCATTTTTGACACTATATTAGGAATGCCCTTCTAGATTGCCTAGCCAGCTGAGCAATTCAGCTGAGCATTTTTACACTATAATTTGGAATGTCCCGCTAGATTGCTTAGCCAGCTGAGCATAACAGCAGAGCGTTTTTTTACACTATATAGAGGAGTGCCGTGCTAGATTGCCTAGCAAGCTGAGCATAGAAGCAGATCATTTTCACACTTTATTCTGGAATGCCCTGCTTGATTGCTTATCCAGCTGAGCATAACAGCAGAGCATTTTTACGCTATATTTTGGAATGCCCCGCTAGATTGCTTAGCCAGCTGAGCAAACAAGCAGAGCATTTTATTACACCATATGTAGGAAATGCCTGCTAGATTGCCTAGCCAGCTAGGCATACCAGCAGATCATTTTTACACTATACTTTGGAATGCCCCGCTATATTGCTTAGCCAGCTGAGCTTACCAGCAGAGCATTTTTACACTATATTTCGGAATGATCTGCTAGACTGCTTAGCCAGCTGGGCATACAAGCAGAGCATTTTTACACTTTATTTAGGAATGCCCTGCTAGATTGCTTAGCCAGCTGAGCATACCAGTGGAGCATTTCTACACTTTATTTTGGAATGCTCTGCTGGATTGCCTAGCCAGCTGAGCTATTTGACACTATATTTAGGAATGCCCTTCTAGATTGCCTAGCCAGCTGAGCAATTCAGCAGAGCATTTTTACACTATAATTTGGAATGTCCCGCTAGATTGCTTTAAGTTAGCCAGCTGAGCATAACAGCACAGCGTTTTTTACACTATATATAGGAGTGCCCTGCTAGATTGCCTAGCCAGCTGAGCATACCAGCAGATCATTTTTACACTTTATTTTGGAATGCCCCGCTTGAATCGTTAGCCAGCTGAGCATAACAGTAGAACATTTTTACGCTATATTTTGGAATGCCCCGCTAGATTGCTTAGCCAGCTGAGCATACAGCAGATCATTTTTACACTATATTTTGTTATTCTCCGCTTTATTGATTAGCCAGCTGAGCATACCAGCAGAGCATTTTTCGCACTATATTTTTGAACTCCCGCTATATTGCTTAGCCAGCTGAGTATACCAGCAATGCATTTTTACGCTATATTTTGGAACGCCCGGCTAGATTGCTTAGCCAGCTGAGCATATCAGCAGAGCATTTTTAAACTCTATTTAGGAATGCCATGCTAGATTGCTTAGCCAGCTGAGCATACCGGCAGATTATTGATTTCCCTATATAAATCGCAATGCCTTTTGCTTAGCTCACTGTTAACTGCTAACTTCTCACATATATTATTTTAAGTCTAGCTTATAACTCCAACTCATCATTTATGCTAGCATTGTGTAAAATACGCATAGATAGATGTCACCGAACCAGTGCTCTGAGTAATACATGCACATAAAATATAAGAGTATTTTATAAAAGCACATAATGACTATTTCAAATGGGAATGCAAAGCTTGACCTTGTAAACTCACAATACACGTGTATATAAAAGCGTTTAAATGACACAGATTAGGATACAATTTACCACGGAGTTGTACATAGGGTCTAAAAATAAAACCACTATATTTTTTCAGGCAACCTAACCAGTGCTCGACCAGTGGTTTTATCTCTGTCAGAACTTAAGATATCTTATTTTTATTTTTACATGATGGTACTTTAAGATGAATGTTTCACAATCGTTTTGAAATATAATTCTTATACATGAAAAATATATCTCTTTTTACAATATAAAAGTTCTGACAGAGATAAAACATTCAAGATCAAAGTTATATTTTACATGTTATGTGCGGTTTAATACTGATTTTGCAGTATTTAGCAACATATTTCTACTGCGTTACTAACGCAGAAAGTGCTGTTTTGCATATGTTGGCCACGCTTTTGTATTTTTTTTTTGGATTGTAAGTGCCGATTGCAAATGTAAAATACTTTATTTGTTCACCTTACAGAATTTAACTTTTAAATTCATTTCCAAAAAAATATGAAAATTAACATGAATCTAGAGGCGTGCTGCTTTAAATGTTATTCATTACTTAAGCCGGTGCTAAGAGGTGTGGACGGTATCTTTTCAGTACCGTCAATGAACAGACTGAATAAAACAGAGCCTGCAACTTTTAAAATTTGGCGTTTGACGTTCTATAGGGATTCGTATTTTCTCAAGAGGGTCTTTGTTTTTTTTTTATTTATGACCATGTTCGTTTAGGAGTGTGAAACAGACTCTTAAGACTTACATTCTTTGTTTTTAACTTTCTGTAGCATCACGTGACATCATAAAGTCATCGATATACCGATATCAGATTTACAGATATGTCTTATTCTATTTTACTTATCTCTCTTATGTATTACATAAAATACCAAATCATTAAAATATTCCAATTCATTTGGAAATTATACTACATTGTTGTTTGTAATCACCATAATTCAATATTCACAGAACGTAGCTTAATATTTATAGAACAATTTGTTATTGAATGTCAATCAAGATCTCTCTTCTCTATTTTCAGATCTTCAAGGTGACCTCATTAAGTTCTACAGAAACAAGTGTAGTTCGATACCTCTCTCACCGCTCCTTGAGGAAGTGGAGACACCTCTAGCTGGCTTCTACGTGATGCCAGATATAGTCGCCATTGGACAGGAGTCTCCTTCAAGTGACGTGGAGGAGAAAACGCCAGTCAATTCTTTAATGGACCTATTTTCAGTCAGAAGCGGTCATCAGCAAGAAATATATTTATCAGCAGACGCAGGCTTTGGAAAAACTGCTTTTTCAAAATACCTTGCAATCACGTGGTGCCAGGCTCATCATAAAGACAAAAACTACAAATGTTTTAAAGATGAGGAGTTAAAAGCTTTATCTGACTTTGAGTTCTTATTTTTGGTCTTATTAAGAGATTGTTCCGATATCTGTAGCATAGAAAAAATGATTGAGCAACAAATTACTGAACAACTTCCTACGTCAGTATCATTAGAAAGAATTTTACGTAAAGAAAAGTGCTTGATTATATTAGACGGTCTTGATGAATGGACCCACCCTGAAAATGGTTGTTCCAGGCGAAATGAAAAAATCCCACATCGGTACGTACATGAAAAGTGTGTTATCTTAACGACTTCGCGTCCATGGAAACTTGGAGTTTCAAATCTTAAAACAAGTCAGGTTAACAAGAAAATAGAGTTGGTTCAACTTAGTATAGATTCTAAATGGCAACTTGAGAAAAATGCTATAAGTAAAATGACCGGTGTTCCTGATGGTGACGAATTGACGAGTAAAACACGGGACTTAAATCAAGTCATAGATGACCGTGGCCTTCAGCACATGCAAACGATTCCACTCCTCCTTATGTTTATCACTTGTCTTTGGTGCAACAGAATTTCCATAGAAAACTCGAAATGTGATGTTTACACCAAAATCATTGAATTTCTGTTATCAAGAACAGCAAAGAAACACCCAGAAATTCAACCATCTTGTGTTTCTTCTACCTGCGATATCCCAGAATATTTCAGAAATCACAACTTCTGTAAAAAGTTTTACTCTCTCATAAAATCATTATCAGAACTAGCTTATCAAACATTACTTAATGAAACAAGAGAAAACACGCTGGTATTTGATGGATCGGTTGCTGAAACATATCTCAAAGCAGACGACATGAGGATAAGCCTTTTCTCAGGAATAGTGTCGGAAAGTAAAACTAAGACATTAATAAAAGAAATTTCTAAAGTGTCCTTTTCCCACAAAACAGTTCAGGAATTTTTTGCCGCCATATTTATAAGTTCTTACAGTGACGTTCAGAAAATTGTTCTAGAAAAATGTAGAAATGTTCAAGACATTCTGGACATGTCAACAATTTGTGAATTTATGAGTAAAATGAATGCTGAACGGATGTGTGAAATATCAAATTATTTGATGTTTGTGATAAATGAAGACGAGAAAACACGCAGCTATAGAACTAGGACAGGTGGCGAGCATATGTACAATACTCCATTGTATAACATACAGGAAATGTTCATGTCGTCTTTACGAGAAATGCCTGAAAGTGAAAATATTCAATTATGTTTACAAGATTTCTTCATTGACACGTACACCGAGCACAGTGAGCATTTACAACGTTTATTAAAACAAAATAAACCCAACATAAAATCACTTTATATAAACACCGTCTTTACTTCCAGCAGTTTACTTGAAATTATAGATTTATTCTCTCTCACAGATCTGAGTCATATACAGAAACTTTACTATCATGGTGAAAGGGAGAAGGAGGCTGAGATAAATCGGATATTTGTTCCCAGTTTGCAGAACGTATCTTTGTTGTCTGGTAATTGGACAAATGATGAAGAAAATCTGAGTGAAAACTTGGCGCGATTACAAAACTTACAATATTTATATATTCACCACTTCACGTTATCTCACAAAATACTGGAAACATTTTACAATTTTATCCCCGGTCAAAAATCAATGAAAGAGTTAACATTGTGGAGGTTATACTGTAAAAAACGTAGTCGCAGATTGAATTTGGGCTTGTCTCAACATTGTAAGAGATTGAACTTGGACCTGTCTCAACATTCAACTCTATCAAAGTTACACTTGAAGGAGTTATCTGGGAGGCTACAATTAAATATATCAACACCGTCATTAGTTAATGTTGAATTGTCGTACATCAAACTAGATGAAAGTTCATTGTTACTGTCACGTGACATGAAAAATATTGAATGTGTGAAGTTGGTGTATATAGAAATGCCTGCAGAATGTTTACAGAACTTTATTGCCGTGCTGGAAAATCTGCCGCAGCCAGTTACAGTAGATATGGTCGCCATTAAACCGGAAACAGAATATGATCGTGTTAGAGAAAATATTCGAAGATCACAAATTTTTCATGTGATACAAGACGACTACTGGTTTGTGTTCAAAACAAGGCAACCAAGTAAAGAATAAACAAGGAAAAACATTGTAAAATAAACTGAAAAAAATGACTTCAAGACTTAAAAAATAAATAAATATGGAAACTTAAAATACGTAACATATGGCGATTAATGAAACTTAACTTAAATGCTTGGTCATTTAGTATCTAAGTAAATCTTTTTGACAGTTGTTTATAAATAAAGTGATTTAAAGGTTAGAAAATATTCACGGAAATATTTTTACGGAACTTAATGGATAAATATATGGAAATATTTCACAGGTAAGAGATTTATAGTAATTGTTTTATAAAAAAATATATATATTATATATTTGAAATACTGAAATATATATTTCTTTAAACTTAATCACATTCAGAAGTGTTAAAATAAAAATAATTATCAATTTTAACATAAATGTTTTTTGATGAAACAAGTTAAGGTAATTATTAAATTAAATTGGTCAAGAACAGCGCTTTGGTTATTTTTAAGTTTATTTAGTAGACTGATAAATAATTAGCCGATGTATTAAAGTAATTGTATTACGAGTCATTTAAAACACTGTTATCCCATTGGACAGCAAACAATTTGAAATTCTGAATATACTTTCTGTTTTAATTAATTGAAATTTGTGGAATACTTGTAAGTTTTATTTTTCGTTTGTCTATTTTTTCCGCTGGTAAAAATACATTACAATGCTAAGAAAATTGATATAATTATGTTAGCTCTTAGGGAGTATTTTAATTCAATTGGACAAACAGTCAACACAACTTTATATTTTATATTCTTCTAAACTTTATAAGGTATGGTCACCCAAATGGGCACTAAAAGGAACTGAAAACTTCACAACATAGGTCACAAATATGCCTTAAGAGACACCTGCATGCAAAATTTAAAAACAAAAATATCGTACATGTTGCATCGTAAACGAGTTATTGTCACTTTTCTGAACTTAAGCCGTAGTATAACATTTGAGCCATTTTTCAGAAATGTGGAACCTTTGAATAAGCTATAATCCCTGTAAGAAATGTTTTCCCTTAAATTATTGTAAAGGGATATTAAAATAATAAAATGAGGAAAACAAAAGAAAGAAAAAAAGTTCTTCAAAATGGAGATAATGCATACGAATGGTCTAACCGTAGAAGTTAAACAATAGTTTTGTTGTTGTTGTTCTTATTGTTGATTGGCTTTATTTTTTCAAAATAGTGAACTGCCCTGCAAAATTTCATTGTTAATCCTATCCGGTTTTATTTCTTGTTTTAGCGGTCTTGAATCAGACGATGGAGAGTGTCATGTGACAACATATATGGAATAAATCAACAGGTGGAATCTCTACAAACGTTCCTTGCTTAACCAAGGTAATGTTGTATAATTTAGACTTTTAAGTGATTTTTATGATTCGCTTCTCAGTAAATATGAAAAAAAGAAAATTAGATATAATAATGAAGATAACTTCTATGAAACATATGCAAAGGGAATTTATACGATTCAATTTATCGCTGGCTTAATGAAGGTCAGTGGATTTACTTTAGTGACTACTGGCTTGAGGAAGGTCGGTGGATCTACTTTTATGACCGTTGGCTTACGGAAAGTCGGTGGATTTACTTTAATGTCCACTGGCTTACGAAGATTGGTGGATCTACTTGAATGTCCGCTGGATTACGAAGGTCGGTGAATCTACTTTTATGGCCGCTGGCATAATGAAGGTCGGTGGATCTACTTTAAAGTCCGCAGGCTTAATGAAGGTCGTTGAATCTACTTTTAAAACCGCTGGATTAATGAAAGTCGGTGGATCTTCTTTTATATCCGCTGGATTAATGAAGGTCGGTGGCTCTACTTTAATGTCCGCAGGCTTAATTTAAGTTTGTGGACCTACTTTAATGTCCACTGGCTTACTGAATGTCGGTGGATCTACTTAAATGACCGCTTTGGCTTAAGGAAGTTCGGTGGATCTACTTTTATGCCCACTGGCTAACTGAAGGTCGGTGGATCTTCTTTTATGACCGTTGGTTCAAGGAAAGTCGGTGGATTTACTTTCATGTCCGCTAGCTTACGAAGGTTGGTGGATCTACTTAAATGTCCGCTGGCTTACTGAATGTCGATGGGTCTGCTTAAATTCCCGCTGGCTTACTTAAGGTCGGTGGATCTACTTTTATTGCCGTTGACATAATGAAGGTCGGTGGATCTACTTTAAAGACCGCTGGCTTAATGAAGGTCGGTGGATCTACTTTGAGGTCCGCTCGATTAATGAAAGTCGGTGGATCTTCTTTAATATCCGCTTGATGAATGAAAGTCGGTGGATCTTATTTAATGTCCGCAGGCTTAATTAAAGTTTGTTGATCTACTTTAATGTCCAATGGCTTACTGAAGGTCGGTGGATCTACTTTAATATCCGCTTTGGCTTAAGGAAGGCCAGTGGATCTTCTTTTATGTCCACTTGCTAACTGAAGGTCGGTGGATCTACTTAAATGTCTGCTGGCTTAAGGAAGGTCGGTGGATCTACTTAAATGTCTGCTGGCTTAAGGAAGGTCTGTGGATCTATTTTAATGTCCGCAGGCTCACGGAAAGTCGGTGGGTGTACCTTGATGTCAGCTGGTTTACGGAAGGTCTGTGGATCTACTTTAATGTCCGCAGGCTTACTGAAGGTCGGTGGATCTACTTCAATTGTCCGGAAGATCGATTGTTCTACATTTTTGTCCGCTTGCTCATAAAAAGTCACTGCATCTTCTTTTATCTCCTGTGTCTAACGAAAGGTCGGTGGGTCTACTTTGATGACTGCCGGCTTTTGGGTGACCAGTGGACTTACTTTGAGGTCCGGTGTCTTATGGAAGGTCGGTGGATCTACTTCAATTTTCCGGAGGGTCGATGGATCTTCTTCAAGTCTTCCGGCTTTCGGAAATTTTGTTAACCTTCTTTAAAGTCTGCTGACTTACAGAAGGTCTTTGGATCTACTGTTATATCCTCTTGGGTACAAAGGTTCGTATATATTATCTTGGAATCCGCTCGAGCCTGTTATCCTACGATCTCCAACATTTTCCTCCATGATAAAAACCGAACACTCATTGTTACCGTATGACAAAATTTGACGGTTTTGCTTTTATAAAAAATATGAAAATCGTTTAATTTGTTTTTATTTTTCAGAAAAGAAACTAGTCTGAATCTTCAATGACAATGGTGTATGTACCTCTTCGGGGGTTCAATATTTTGACATTACTCATTGCTTCGCGGGAAAAAGGCACGGAGGAGATTTCACATTAGACGTTTAATCACCAGGACATTGTGAATGCATATTTTAGCTTAACGAAATGGAAATATATAAAGTAAAAACTTATATTATGATCATCACAAGTGCATTTAACCTGTTTTCTATAAAATACATTATACAAAGAAAGAGAACAAATATGATGACCGCTGTGAAATATTTAATAATCCCTTAAGTCCTTTTATTTATAAATAACTGTTTAGTACTTTAGAAAAAACATTATATTTTTGTGAAAATTACGCCTTTAACAAAGACAAGTATGTATTTAAAGTTTAATCATTAATCTACTACAAAATCATAATCATTTGGAGGGCACAATATTTTGATAGTTTGAGTCCGGATCAATTGAAATTTTATTTCACCTGTTGCAAGATTATTTTTTAATTACACAAGATGAAAAAATTCCTGTATTTATAGATAAACACTTTTTTCAGTTCATTAAAACATTTTCTTATTTGTTCACTTACGATTCGAAAGACTCCACCTTTAGGTTTGTGTATTTACTGAATTAAGAAGAAACCATTCCGGCAAATACAAAACAATAGGTTTCACTCCAGCGAAAAATAATTTTTTACATTTGATTTCAATATTTCTTTCATAAGTATATATCTATTTTTATTTATTTTTCTCCGATGTATTAGTCTATAAAAGGTTGTAAACTGTTTTTGAACATACATAATTGTATCGAACGATACTGTTTAACTGTTGTTGTTTTTTATACTCTAGTCAAATTTAATGATTATTTTCATCTGTCATGTATATCTAGATGTATATAATTAGATACTTGATATGTATGAGTTATCGGTTAAGTTTTGAGTTTTTGTAAGTGTAATTTTAGTTGTCAAATGTATACACTCAGGGATAACAAAACGCATACAGAAGAATGAATGGTGAAACATTGTTTTAACGTCAAATGTGACGTAATGTTTTTGCTCTCCCAAGGTGGGAGAGTTGGGCACATAGCGCCGTCTTTCCGGCTTTCATTCTGTTTCTTAAGGCCCTGTCACACTAGAATGCGATTTCACTGCGTTCGCACGGCGTTGTTAAATTTAACAAAGCGCCGCGAGGTCGCAATAAAAAATGTAATATTGTTGATGTCATGAAGACTGCACGGCGTCTTCACGGCGTGCTCACGGCGATCATGGCGATATTACGGAGCTTCGATGGCGTTTTAGTTGGCGATTGTCTACGTTCGGACTGCGCTTCTATGACGTTCTTTGCGCTTTCACTGCGCATTTACGGCGCTCTCGCGGCGCTCACACTGCGTTGAAATCGTAAAGCTCCGTGAAAGCGCCGTACACACGCAGTTTAAGCGCGGTAAAGACGTGGCACAGTCTCCGAACAAGCGCCGTGGATAACCACGGCGTTCATTCGGCGTTCCTTTTGCGCTTTCGCAGCGCTCCTGTTGCGTTGTAGGAGATGCTACTGAGTTGCTACGGCGTCCTTACTGCGATGCTACTGCGCTCATTTTAGAACGCCGAGCGACGGCGTTTGTTTTGAGCATGTTCAAAATGCGCGCCGTTGGTCGGCGTTCTATGCGATGCCACTACGATGCTACGGCGATGCTGTGGCGATGCTTGCGATCTTACTGCGCTCACCTCGGCGTTCAGAATTTTCTTTGGACGCCGTGAGAACGCCGTCCTAGTGTGACAGGGGTTTAAAGAATACCGTGTAAATTTTACAACATGTATATTTAATTGAACTAGACTACTTCAGATAAATTAGTGACAATGACTAGTGCAAGGAAATGAATTTCTGCTTATGGTAATTTTGTAATCATTTATTTATGTCCGGAGTATAACTCCTAAACTATCAATGATATCTAATTGGACATTCACACAGTAAAGTGCAGTGTTAAAAAACCATAACTCTCCGTGTTCCATTGTTTAAATTACCTCCCTGGATATTTGTTTCTTGATTTAATGCTTATCCAGGATATATGTGTATGTATTAAATAAATTTGATTGAACCTTCGCATTGTTATCAGTAAGAATAAGTGCATTGTGTATGAATAATAATTTTAACTTACTTTGTTTTCAAACGATTACCCTTTTAACACATGCTTATGTCGAGTAATAAGCTATTTAAATCTATATTGCACGAGGTGCTAGCCGAGTCAGATATAAGTTTTGCTGCTGTGTGCAAGTCCAGTAGAATCAGTACTGTTCTCAACCATGTGTACTGACCTCTTAACTTCACACCGTCATTTTTTTGAAATTTGACAGATTTTTATTTATTCAATTACAAAAAGGATTTGATATAGATTTGGGAATTTCAAAAAAAAATCTATAATTTTGGTCAAGGGTAACTAAGATCAGTGTCACATTTTGCTCATTTGTTTCAAGCGATGTGCAATGAAGTTCACTGGCAAATGGAAAGGTTCGGGGAGCATCGATACGTTTTGTTAAAGAGTTGTAATTCTTGAAAAAGAAATGTAAATCAATGCGTATATTTTCATTATCAATGTTTATAATTTAGTTAAAACTCATTTGATAAATGTAGATCTATTTACTATGCTTATTATTTATATTTCTGTGTATGTTGTTTGAATAATTCATATTTATCATTTAATTTATCAGTACATATCTTATATATACATGAATTCAATTTATGATTGTATCACATGCAACAATCTGATTCGATCGAAAAAATACCGTATCATACACGTTTGTGATCCGGATAACGTTGCTAGGATTCCAGTATCATTATATTATTTTTCCAACATAGTCACTTTAAAGGAACAAATAATAATAAATGCAACATATATGTTTAACTTATTTTATTTATGGTTGGCATAAAATTTTCGTCATGACTGGTTATTAAGTAACATAAAGTTAATAGAGTTTGAACCTTTTATATAAAATAGAATATTATAAAATAGGTTTTGCTTTGTTATTGATTGCAAAAACCTGTAATTGTATGTTAGATTTTTTGCTACCATATTATATTTTAGATTCATGGAGGTATATATTAAAAGGATTGTTATAAGAAAATTTTAATTTGTTGAAACTTGTATCTGACTGTCGCGTGATATACTAGCCTAGCAAAATACTTAAGGGTCAAATACATGTTCAAGATGAAGTTGCTCATTTAATG